GATGTGTCCCAGACCCCCCTGACACAGAACTCTGTCCCCACAGAGCTGCTACCACCATGTGGAAGAGCATCATGTGCTCGTGCAGGGCTGCAGAGCCGGCCATGCTGATACTTCTGGATGTGCTGGGCACCTGGCCAGAGCTCAGCATGTGCACCTCCGACGGGGACCACACGGCTGTCCTTGCCCTGGCTGTGAGTTTCTGCAGCTGACCTTTGCTCACCCCAAGGTCACCTCTCCCTCAGGTCTCCATCCTCCCTCCTCCCATGGCATCTCCCTGCCTCAGGCACTGGGCTCCAACCTGGCCTAGGAGCAGCTCCAGGACCACCAGGCCGGCTGCTGTCCCTACATCTCCACTGGCCTCTCCCTGCCATGCTCGGGCCCTGCCACATGGACACCTGGGCACTGAGCGCTGACTCGGGCTGCTCTGTCCTTCACAGGCAACTGTGGTGATATGGAAGATGCTCCAGCTGCCCTGTGTCCCACATGCAGTGACAGTGTATTTCCCCCGTCTCTTGGTGCATCTGCTCTTGCAAGTGCTCTTCAGCACATTGGATATGCCAGAGAAGGTCGATACTTTCTGGAAGAGATGCCAGCAGCAACACGGCCTTGCCATCAGCCCCAACAGGTGCTCCATGCCAGTCCTCCTGTCCCTGCCATGTCCCCAGGGCAGCAGCCCGTGCTCCCAGCATCACCTGGGCTTTGCTGTGCACACAGGTTTGCAGTGCAGACCCTGAAGGCCCTGCTCTGCCGACTGCACTATGAGGATGTGGTGGCAGCAGTGGAAGACGAGTGTGGCTGGGACACGCTGCTGTGTGCTGGCACGCACCACTGTGCTGTGGGTGTGCTGGCCAGGTGAGCTGCCCCCAAACAGCGTTTGTGCCCCGTGCCTGGGGTGCCCCACACAGTCCCCGTGGTCAGGGGCCAGAGGGCCTTGTCACCAAGGGATGGCCAAGGACACTGCACAAGCCTGGGAGAGGAGGGTGCCCAAGGGCAGCTTGGCCCCCAAAGGACCCCAGGTCCCCTTGCAGGGTGGTGGAGAAGGGCCAAGCTCCTCCTGGGAGTCAGTCCATGGAGAGGTTTGTCCCGCTGGCTCAGGGGTCCCCTTGCAGGGTGGTGGAGAAGGGCCAAGCTCCTCCTGGGAGTCAGTCCATGGAGAGGTTTGTCCCGCTGGCTCAGGGTCTTGGTTCCTTTTTCCTCCCGTCAGAGCAATGCGTCACGTGTCCCTACCCTTGTGTTCTGCGATTGCATTCTACCTGCTCGGGCTGCTCAGCAAAGACACGGCACACGGGGATTTGGCCGCCATGGCGTTCCTTGTGGAGGTGAGCCTGAAGGGCAGCGCTGTCTCGCTGAGCTGTCTCCCAGCTCTCTGCCCTCTCGGTGCCGCAGCCGCCCGGGACGGTGCCCACGCCCTGTGCTGCTGCCTGGGCCCAGCCCTGTGCGCTGCTGCCCCATCACCGGCCTGTGCCCTTCAGATGTTGGAGTGCCTGGACTCGAGTGAATACCGTGACAGCGTCCTGGAGATCGCATCAAACAAACTGCAGAGCGAGTGCAGGGAGAGGCGTCGCTTGGCACTCAGAGGCCTTGTGGTGCTCGGCAAGAATTCCTCCATGGTGAGAAGGGGGCAGCGGCTGCCGGCATGGGGCTGGGGAAGGCAGTGGCTTGCGCTTGGCTGGCCTTTGGCCACTGAGGCAGCTGCTGCCAGCTCTCCTGCCTCTTGCCTCCTGCCCCATGCCCCAGGCCTTTGGCACAGGCCTTTGGCCTCTGGGCCCTGTGGCAGCAGGGTGGCATTTCACACACTTGTGTTCCACACAGGCCAAAAGAATGTGGGGCCTGCATGAAAGGCTCGTGGAGCTCCTGGGGGAAAATGACAGCCATGTGCTTGGGATGAGCATCGCTCTCCTCAGCCGTTTGTTCCTGTACAATGGTGGCCCGATAACCATCCCCCTCGGCCTGCAGCTGGCTGAGGCGCTCCTGCCGCTCTTTGACAATGTAAGGCTCTGTGTCTCCAGCCATGGCTGCTGCCTGGGCACTGTGCCCTGGGCATTTGCAGGCCTGTGCCCAGGTGGGCCTGAAGCAGCTGATGCTGAGGTCTTTATTTCTTCCTTTCGTACAGGACGATAGCCAGGTGCAGCTGTGCTCCATGTTCATCTTTCGAGAGATGATGGATTTTCTACCAAAGGAGGGAAAAAAGGCCTTGAAGTCCCACGTGCAGCAGAGCCTGCTCCCACTCTCCTTGCACTGCCATGACGAGAACCAGCGCGTGGTTGATGTGAGGACTCGGCAGCTGCCGTGGCTCCCTGGCAGGGCGCTCGGCTGCCTCCTGCTCTGCTGCCTTGCAGGCTGCAGCTCCCTCCTGGTCTTGGCCCAGGGACGTGGGTCCTGTGCCCTGGGCTGTGGTGCCATCTCTGGGTCTCTGCTGCTCTCCAGGCCTCCCGGGAAACGCTGCTCTGTTCCGCCCGATTCCTGAAGAGGAAGGATCTCCAGCAGATGCTGCGGGTGGATCAGACCTGGAGGTTCGGCGAGGGCCTGGTAAGGGCGGGCTGGAAGCCCCAGCCCCAGGCTGGAGAAGCTCAGTGTGTGCGGCTGGCAGCTGTGCCCTGCCCAGTGCCGCACCCAGGGCCGCCAGCCTGTGCCCCACACGCTGCTCCCTTCCCTGGGCCCCGCGGGCTCTACTCCAGCCCCCTGTGGCCCCGAGCCGTGTGCCCATGGAGCCCCGGCACCGCTGGTCTGTCGGGCAAAGCAGCAGCGCGGCTCCCCGGGCAG